CTAGGGCGTTTGGCCTCAGTAGTCGTTGCTCCCGGGCTCTAGAGAACAGGCTCAATTGCGGCGCACAGGCTTAGTTGCTCCTCTGCACGTGGCATCTTCCTGGATCAGGGAACAAACTAGTGTCTCCTGCGTTGGCATGTGGATTCTTTACCACTGAGCCACCAGGGAAGCCCTTCTGTAGGCCCTTAGCTCATCATTCTCACCCTTTATCAGGTATTCTCCTTCAGAACTTCCCACTTGTTGCCTCTAAGGACCATCTTTTGCAACAGGCCATTCTGAGATGCTTTTCTTGTTTCTGTTGACAAGGCTCAGTCTCTTCATTTCCTCCCTCCTTAGGATGTTGATCAGCCCATTTGATTAAGGATATTTCAGTCTGAACAGCTTCGTGATGATCTGTCAGGTGGGCATTTTCATCTCTTTTTCGGCCATGTGGGTGTAGGATGAATTATTCCTGCTATTTTGAATGTTTGAATATACATGTGACTTTGGAGCATCCTGCTATGTCAACCTGGACCCTTCCAGGTGGGCAACATCCTCTTCATTCTCTGACTCCAGGTTATCACCTATGTCCACTTCCTCCAGGAAGTGGTCAGGACTTTGATCCTGAGTCAGCATCCTGCAGGGACACTCCTGGACTCTACACTCAGGCCCAAGAACTCACAGTGGTGACCCTGACCCAGTCGCCAACAGTAATTTTAATTGTGGTTTAGCCTCTTCCACTTTGTATGATGTTATTGGTTCCATCTCCCAGAGGCTGGATCCTTTGTTGCTGCAGGAACAGAATCAGCTGTTCTCGGTCTGAATATTGAGGATTTCCCCCCTCTCCCTGTGTTTTACTACAATGCATATGACGTTCCTCATCGCAGAGTTAAAGGTATCCAGCTCACAATGTACTTCTGCATTTGCATCCTCTTCCCTCACAGAAGGAAACATCAAATACTTTGCTACAACTGCTCATGAAGGGCTACTGGCAGATTCCTTGTCTCTCCGTAGAGAAAGCCATTCTTTGACTGCCTGGAAAATTCTGCCTAAAATGAAGTGAGCTGTGATTGAACTGTCACAGTGCACTCCACCATCTCCCAGTGACATCCATGGACAGCAAGACTGCGTGTCTCACTGTTGGTGGGTTCTGCCAGAAAACCCTTTAGCATTTGTCACAATCGCTACAATTACACCCCCCTGCCAGGATGTGGTTCCTCCATAGTGGCTTCTGAAGCAGAGGCCCCTACAGCTGCTCCCATGGCCTGCTGGACCACTCCACACTGTGGGGATAGCTGAGCTGGTTTCTGTCCAGTGTCACTCCTGCGACAGGTAACTGGCTCAGACCATGCAGAGGGCTGATGAGCAGCATCACAGCAATAAAAAAATGCACACGCCTTCCACCCCACCTCGGCGTTTCCTTTCCTTGACTTAAACTGTTCCCTCTGCAGCCCCAGCAGGTCCATCCAACCCCCTGGGCCTGCTGTACTCTCAGCCTGGGAAGATCCTCCTTCCATTGCCAGTGTGGGGTCACACCCTTCTTTTAACAACTGTGTTCACTTGCCCCTGTGTTCAGTGCCCAGGGCAGGGCCTGACCAGGACGAAAAGCCCAGAGCTCCAGGCATGTTTGTGAGAGATACATGAATAAGCATTTGGATGAATGGAGGGAGGAGAAAGCCATCCTGGGCCAACTCTGGAGATTCACATATCATGTTCTGCTGACTCCTCAGGCAGTTAAAACTGGTCGACATAGAATGGAGAGTGATGTAATAAAAAATCTCGAACAAATGCTAATAACAGATGACCATGTAACACAGGGGCATCTGAGGTGGTACTAGTGGTAAAGTAGCCACCTGCCAAAGCAGAAGATGCAAGGGTTTGATCAAGGTTCGGGAAGATTCTCTGGAGTAAGAAATGGCACCACACTCCAGTATTCTTGTCTGGAGAATCCCATGGGTGGAGGAGTCTGGTAGGCTACAGTCCATGGGGCTGCAAAGAGTCAGACATGACTGAGTACATATAACATTAATAAAAATTCACCATGTTGGACTATAAAAGATCCTCAACTTGAAAAAAGTTAAACAGCATAATGAAGATCATTTCCTATAATTCCATTTTAGGATAATTAAAAACAAAGTGTAAAGCAAAGAAAACAACTGCTTGGAAATTTCGTGAACTCTCCTAAATAATCTTTTAGAATCTTTAAACAACATTGCACACTACTTCAAAAATACTAACAACGGATACACTAACGATATGTAGAATAGAGATTATTCAGTGAAGAAAATTCAAGGGTTCCACTGGTGGTTAAGAATTTGCCTTCCAATGCAGGGGGCGCAGGTTCCACTTGTGGTTGGGGAACTAAGATCCCACAGGCTGCTGGGAAACTAAGCCGGCACCACAAGTAGAGAAGCCCGCCTGCCACAATGAAGACACAGCACAGCCAATTAACTAAAGGGCTCAGATGGTAAAGAATTTGCCTGCAATGCAGGAGACCTGAGCACCACAAGTAGAGAAGCCCGCCTGCCACAACAAAGACCCAGCATAACCAAAATAAAAACCAAACAGAATAAACAAAAAAAGAAAATCCATACCATTTATTACTTAACACTTAGTACAAGCATGTCACAAGGAAACAAACAATAATATAGCTTAAAAAAGTTAGAAACTGGAAAGGAAATACAAAGAAAGCACAGCAGTAAAGAAGTTTAGCAGAATGGGTTTTAGAGCTCTGAAAACCAGAAAACTTTATACAAAAATATAAGAGCTGCTTACAGAGTGACTATTTTCCTTTTCTCTGAGGATGTCCAATGAACTATGGACTCTTGCTGAAGCTTCCCTCAAAAACAGCTTAAAATCCTATTGGAAAGTACATGCTTCTATACAAGTGGACATAACAAAAGAAACAGACTCACAGATAGAACAGACTAGTGGTTACCGGTGAGGAGAGGGAAGGGAGGAAGCGGTAATGTGAGGGCGTGGGGTTAAGAGGCACAAACTACTATGTATCAAATAAGCTACAAGGGTGTGTTGTACAACCCAGGGGATATAACCAATTTTTATAACTATAAATGAAGTATAAACTTGAAAAGCTGCACATTACTAAATTGTGCATCAATTATACTTCAATAAAGAAACAAATATGATTATCTTATGAATGTCTTTGTACAATCATTACTGTTAGTGATGTAGTAATGCACAAGATTCCAGTCACATATAGAACTTCATGACCACTAAATGTTATTTCCTGTTCAGTTGTGCGTGTTGAGATGGTTCTGGGCTATGAGTTGTTCAATGAAGTCTTTGTCTTCCATCTTCCTCTGAATCCACACCTTTTGTTCTATCTAAAATCTCCCTTTCTTGCGGTGTGTACTTTATTCCATCATGTCTGACAATGACAGAACAAAGAACGCAACCGAAGCCCCTGTACCTGGAGGTGACTGAGAGGTGGGGGAAGTCAAGTTTTCTCAAGGCTTGACCCCTCGATTTTCTGAGACTGCCTTTCCTTAGTACCTGAGCAAGTTTCACCTTGGTAGTGATGGAGAAGGGCAAATTCCTATCTTTTATGTCTTCTCTTGAGACACCATGATCCTTTGATCTTTGCATCAAATAAGGAGCATCTATTTAGTGTGAGCTTGTTATTCTGTGAACACCCACTGGGGTATGCGTTCGGAGAAACTAATGTTTAGGGGGCTTTGGTTTTTCATTTTCTTAAAACTATTCTTGAGGCAGCTGTGGTGTAAACCATGGTGTACCACAATGGGCATTAGAGGACTATTAGTTCAAATACCAGTTCAGTTCAGTTCAGTCGCTCAGTCGTGTCTGGCTCTTTGTGACCCCATGGATTGCAGCACACCAGGCTTCCCTGTCCATCACCAACTCCTGGAGCTTACTCAAACTCATGTCCATTGAGTCGGTGATGCCATCCAACCATCTCATCCTCTGTCATCCCCTTCTCTTCCTGCCCTCAATATTTCCCAACATCAGGGTCTTTTCCAAGGAGGCATTTCTTCACATCAGGTGGTCAAAGTATTGTAGTTTCAGCTTTAGCATCAGTCCTTCCAACGAACATTCAGGACTGATTTCCTTTAGGATGGACTGGTTGGATCTCCTTGCAGTCCAAGGGACTCTCAAGAGTCTTCTCCAACACCACAGTTCAAAAGCATCCATTCTTCAGCACTCAGCTTTCTTTATAGTCCAACTCGCACATCCATACATGACTATTGGAAAAACCATAGCTTTGACTAGATGGACCTTTGTTGGCAAAGTGAGGTCTCTGCTTTTTAATATGCTGTCTAGGTTGGTCATAGCTTTTCTTCCAAGGAGTAACTGTCTTTCAATTTCATCTTCATTCATGGCCTCAGTCACCATCTGCAGTGATTTTGGAGCCCAAGAAAATAAAGATTAAAACTGGTTCAAATAACAGCTTTGTCATTTATTAGCTGTGGGACTCTGGACACATCTCCTGTTCTCTATGAATAATTTCCCTTTCCCCATTTGAAAAAGAAAAATTAAAATTTTTTCTTTTAGTGATATTTTTGAGGGGAAGAGGAGGAGAATTTAATGGTAAAATGTGTAAATTTACTTTTAGCTAAAAACTTGATACATGTTTAGACCTTCAAGATGTATGAGTTATATTGCCTGGTTTTTGTTTAAGAAGGTATAATGTTAGTATGGTACAGTAAAATATTTCAAAAGGCTTTCATTTTCAAGGACAAAGTATATTAGTATTTGATAAAGCATTAACGGATAAGCATCTTGTAATATACAAGGTTTGCCCTCAAAGTCATAAATTCTCAACTGGTTACTAATCAGAGAATCCAGAATGTTGAGCAACTTTTTGATTAAATCATTTATTAGTTCACTAGTTGTCAACCCCCTGGTGTGTTTAAAGAAAACTCACCAGGTTGTTCCACCCCTGACTTGTTAAACTGGAAAGTTCAGATGGGTCATTAAAAAAACGGCAAGAGCAAACAAACAGAACCATATTTTAATCTTTATCGCAGGGCTAAAGTCCCTTCAAAAGAGAGATTAAAGTAGACCTAGCTGACTGTTCACTTTCTGAGTTAGAGGCACAGGTTGAATCGGCAGGGACTGTTATAAAAGCTTTAGATTTCAGGCTCACAGCCATCTGAGTGAGAAGAGACGGCATCAATGGATCTGGCTGTGGCCCTGGTGCTCTGCCTCTGCTCTCTGCTTCTCCTCTCACTCTGGAAACAGAGCTCTGGGAAAGGGAAGCTCCCGCCGGGCCCCACTCCTCTCCCGATTCTTGGAAACATCCTACAGTTAGATGTTAAAGACATTGGCAAATCCTTAAGCAATGTAAGTAGGTTTTATGTTCCTCCAGTGGCTTGCAAAGGGTAAGTGAACATCTACTTTAAAAAATATATATTAAAATACATTACAATATCTTAAAATTACTAAAATATATCATTTTAAAGCAAATACTCCCGTGGAATATTACTTTTTGTCTGTCATTGTCAAGAAGAGTGGAAAGCATTTCTTGAGTAGAGAAACATTTAGGTCTCTGTATAACTGAATCAAAATGATAATGTGGCAAAAGATTGGAGTATTGCTTCTCTTCTTTGTTTCACCACATTTGCTATGATATTTGGCTGAAGGTAATTGATAAGGGAAGTGTTTTGTGATTAGAGATGTCATTCAAGAAGTCATCTATTATATAAACTGCATGTTTTGTTCAGAACAACCATGAAAATTTAATGTCTGTGAAGAAGTGAACTATGCCTGATATTAAGGAAATAGCTTGGGATCAGGACAAGTATGAGTGAATGAAAGAAAAAAGTCATTATTCAGAGCCAGCTGGGTGGTAGCAAAATCCTTTTGGATTCTGCACAAAGCTGCTGTCTGCAAGACATGATGCTAGATGAAAGTAATTGTTCTTCCATGAGCTGCTGCGTGTCCTGGCACTGACTCTGTGATGCTTACTTGCTTCCTGTCAGTAATAGCAGCGGATCTCAAACTGGGCTGGGCATTTGAATCACTGAGGGTGGTTTTTAAACATGTAGATTTCTAGTATTTATTACTGTTGAGTCAGAATTCCCATGGGATGAGCTTTACAAGTGATCTGGAGGCAGTCAGTTGTATACTGGTTCTGAGGTTGGCATAGGGATTACCGACTAGAGGTCGACTAAGCAGTGTTGAAATCTGGGTCTTCTCTTTAGTAAAAATTTCTCCAAAGAAGACATACAGATGGCCATAGACACATGAAAAGATGCTCAACATCACTATTAGAGAAATGCAAATCAAGGCTACAGTGAGATATCACCTCACACTGGTCCAAATGGCCTAAGTAATACCAAGTCTACAAGTAACAAATGTTGGAGAGGATGTACAGAAAAGAGAACACTCCTACACTGTTGGTAGGAATGTAAACTAGTGCAGCCACTATGGAAAACAGTATGGAGGGTTCTCAGAAAACTAAAAATAGAATTACCATATGATCCAGCAAATCACTCCTGGACATATACCCAGAAAAACTATAGTTCAAAAAGATACATGCACCACTATGTTCATAGCAGCACTATTCACAACAGCCAAAACATGGAAGCAACTTAAATGTCCATTGACAGAAGAATGGATAAAGAAGATATGCTACATATATACAATGGAACACTACTCAGCCATAAAAAGGAAGAAATTGAGGCCATTTGCTACAGCAACATGGATGGGTCTAGAGACTATACTAAGTAAAATAAGTCAGAAAGAGAAAGACAAATACCATATGATTTCACTTATATGTGGAATCTAAAATATGGCTCAAATGAACCTATCTTCAAAACAGAAGCAAGACTCACAGACGTAGAGAGGAGACTTGTTGCCAAGGGAGAGGGAGGGGGTAGGGGAAGGACGGACTGGGAGTTTGGGATTGGTAGATGCAAACTATTATGTTTAGAATGGATATACAACAAGGTCCTACTGTGTAGTCCAAGGAACCACATCCAATCTCCTGGGATAAACCACAATGCCAAAGAATATTTAAAAAATTATATATGTGTAAAACTGAGCCACTCTGCTGTACAGCAAAGATTGAAACAACACTGTAAAACACAACTATACTTCAATTTAAAAAAAGATATTTGGGTCTTCTAGTAACTGTGAGACACCAGAAATAAATGGGAGAGTCTTTGAGCCTTAATCTTTTTCTCTATAAAGCAAGGTAAATAAACCTAGCTCAGGGTATTGATATGATAATGAGTAATCATCTGAGTACCAATTTCTCAGGCCACAGCCTAGCACATCAGAGATGATATAATAATCACCATCATATTTTGTCTTTTATAGCATTTTAATAAAGTACTGTTGATTTACAATACTGCATTAGTTTCAGGTATACAGAAAATTCTTGCATTTTTTTGCACTTTATATTCCATTATACATTATTATGAAGTATTTTCTTTTCATTTATTTTTATTAGTTGGAGGCTAATTACTTTACAATATTGTAGTGGTTTTTGCCATACATTGACATGAATCAGCCATNACTTTACAATATTGTAGTGGTTTTTGCCATACATTGACATGAATCAGCCATGGATTTACATGTGTTCCCCATCCTGAACCCCCCTCCCGCCTCCCTCCCCATCCCATTCCTCTGGGTCTTCCCAGTGCACCAGCCCTGAGCACTTGTCTCATGCATCGAACCTGGGCTGGTGGTCTGTTTCACCCTTGATAGTATACTCGCTACACAGTATTTTTAAGTGAAAATAATGATGGACCTTTATTATTTTAAGAAAAACATCCAGACACACATACACATATCCCTAAAGGTTTTCATGGGCTTGGGACTGAGGTTTAGAACATACACATTTTACTAAAATTCCCCAGGTGGTTCATGACATGACTTACATCATAAATTTAAGATAAATTGTATATTGTAGATATTAAAAATTTTAAAGTTATGACATTTATGAAGGACTACTGGCAAGACAATATGATTGTGTTTGCTACGTTTATCTAAAGATACCCATTTACTAAGAAACAATAGGCTCAGCAACTGATCTCAAACAGAAAAAACCGGATTCAGTCTGATATGGTACAACTTTGAATCTGTCAGTAAGTAGTACCATCTTCATAGAATACTTGCTTCCAAAATGTTTGTTAGCACACTTTGAAATTACTCTGCCATCATCAAACATAAATTTTGAAATTATAGCCATCCATGACTTACTTCCAATGAATATTCATTGGAAGGACTGATGCTGAAGCTGAAGCTCCAATACTTTGGCCACCTTGCAAAGAGCCAACTCATTGGAAAAGACCCTAATGCTGGGAAAGATTAAGAGCAGGAGGAGAAGGGGACATAGAGGATGAGGTGGTTGAATGGCATCACCAACTCAATGGACATGAGTTTGAGCAAACTCCAGGAGATAGTGATGAATAGGGAAGGCTGGCGTGCTGCAGTCCATGCGGTCACAAAGAGTTGGACATGATTAAGCAACTGAAAAAGAGCAAATTACTTAGTTCAGGTAGGTCAGATGACTACCATTCTATTCTAGCTTTCTGAATTTGTAAGTGGGAAAAGCCTTGTAATGTACCTTTCTCTAGCATACTGAATAAATTTCAAATTGAAAATGTGACTTACTATGGTAACACATGTGTTACTACTATAAACCTTGTACAAAGAAAAACAGAGGCAAGATAGGTATGGAAAGAGAAAAACCTACTTTTGTTGGCCCTCAAACTGAGTGAAGTTCTGAAATGCAGTGATGATCTCTGCATTTATAATAGATATCTGCATGTTCTTACTATGTAAATAAAATGGCTGGTATGAAGCAACATTAAAGTTTGTTAACAAGTGAATTCTTTTTAACTTTAACCCCAGAGGAAAGTCTGGATAAACCATGTAACATTTAAATATGCTTTGGAATATAGCAATACAGCTTATACTATATGAAAGTTTTGACTTTTTTCCTGTTAGAATTTTGTAATTGACTCAAGTACTATTACATCTCCATTTCTGCATATGAAGATAGTGACTTGCTCCAAGTAATTCCCAGGTAGTAAAACACCTAGAATTTGAACTCTAAAGCCATGCTTTGGTGCCTGTAAGATGTTCTAGAACAAATCTGATTGCAAACCATTTTGTGTTTATGTTTTACTAGATCCTCAGGGGAAAAAGGGGTGCTTACCTTGATTTTTAAGATTTTAGAAACATTTCCAGAGGATCAACTTGTCTAGTGAATGTAGAGCTTAATCTAACTAAAGTCTTGATTCCAAATCCTTTAAATCTGACCTAAAAATTTTTATCCTTTTTTATCTTTCAATATACGCATATAATTGTCCTCTATTCTATCTTGTTGGCTACTTTTCAGTTCATCTCAAATTGCAATCTGCCTGGGGACAGAATTTGAAACTTAGAACTAAATGTTTATAAATTTATAAAGCGTTGCTACCTTTTTTACTAAGCAAAAAAAAAAAAAAAAACAAAGTTAGGAATACATTTAATTCTATGGAACCCAAGAAAAGGACTGGAAAACTGAATAAGAAACTTTCTGAAAAGTCAAGTACTGATTTTTGTTTTCTTCTTTGAAAAGAAACTATTAATATTTCTACCATAATTTCTAATGCCAACTATGGCTTCCTTTAACATTTCTCCTGTTTTAAGGAGAACTATATTAGCTTCCTAAACAACAAAAAAATTCAGTGAGATATACACCTGATATAAAAGTACCCATAGTTTCTTATACTGCCTCTTTTTCATTGTTTTTGTCTTCAAAAAGAGAAAGAAGGACAGAACAGGAAAAATAGCATTTAGTTTTTCATGTAAAGTAATTATTAAAAGAGATTATCCCTGGAAATCATACTTCTCTGTGGTAGCCCTTAACGTTTAAGGATCAGGAAATAAAATATCCCACTATTACACAAACAGAACAAATATATAAATAATGAAATTACTCACCTCTGAGGCCTGGAGTATACTTCCTTCTCTGTGGTTTGATTTACATAATCGAAGAATCTAAGTTCGTCTGTCTGAGAATGAATGAAGGATACGTTTGTTTGAACCACTGAAAGGATTTTTCTTAATGGCTGAAGCCACTTTATAATGTAGAAATCCCTTTTTCCTATTTTAAGTAACGGAAGTTCATTCTTAAGAATATGGTGTCCAACAACGAAAACAATCTGAGGATTTGTTACTTGTCTGTGATGTAAACTGACTCCCCCTGCCCTTACCATCCGCAGCCCTCGGGGACCCTTTGGTAGGCGTTTGCTTTACAGCATGCAGGGGCTTGCCCAGTGACTCAGTGGTAAAGAATCCACCTGCAGTGAAGAAGATGCAGGAGACGCCAGTTCGGTCCCTGTGTGGGGAATTCATGTATAGTAGTTTGTATCTGTTCATCTCGTACCCCTAATTTGTCCCTCACCCATTTTGGTTACCCACAAATTTGTTTTCTGTGTCTGTGAGTCTGTTTACGATTTGTCTATAGATTCATTTGTGTTTTTTAAGATTCTCTATATAAACGATATCATGTAGTATTTTTCTTTTTCTGACTTAGTTCACTAAGCATATTCTCTAGGCCCATCCATGTTTCTGCAACATTTTATTGTTTTTTTATGGCTTAGTAATATTCCACTGTATGTATATACCACATATACTTACGCCATTTATCTGTTAACGGGCACTTGGGTTGCTTCTATGTCTTGGCTGTTTTAAGTAGTGCTGCTGTGAACATTTGGATGTGTTATGTTTTTGAATTAGAGTTTTCATTTTTTTTTATCTGGTTATATACCCAAGAGTGAAATTGCTGGATTATATGGTAGTTTTATTTTTAGTTTTTAAAGGGATTTCCACACTGTTCTCCTTAGTGGCTGCACCAATTTACATTCCCACCAACAGTGGAAGAGGCTTCCCTTTCCTCCACACCCTCTTCAGCATTTAGTACTTGTAGACATTTTGATGGTACACAATGGTACCTCATTGTGGTTTCAATTTTCACTTCTCTAATTGTTAGTGTTTTTTTTTTTAAATTGTTAGTGATTTTAAGAATCTTTTCATTGCATGTTGGCCATCTGTATGTCTTCTTTGGAGAAAGGTCTATTTAGGTCTTCTGCTTTATTATACTGTGATATGTTCCCTCTATATCCACTTTAGTGAGAGTGCTTTGTTTTTTTTAAATCATGAATGGATGTTGAATTATTATACTTATAAATCCCAAAGAAAGGCAATGCCAAAAAATGCTCAAACTACTGCACAATTGCACTCATCTCATACACTAGTAAAGTAATCCTAAAAATTCTCCAAGCCAGGCTTAAAGCCATACGTAAACTGTGAACTTCCAGATGTTCAGGATGGATTTAGAAAAGGCAGAGGAACCAGAGATCAAATCGCCAACATCCGTTGGATCATTGTAAAAGCAAGAGAGTTCCAGAAAAAACATCTACTTCTGCTTTATTGACTATGCCAAAGCCTTTGACTTTGTGGATCACACCAAACTGTGGAAAATTCTGAAAGAGATGGGAATATTAGACCACTTGACCTGCCTCTTGAGAAGTCTGTACACAGGTCAAGAAGCAACAGTTAGAACTGGACATGGAACAACAGACTGGTTCCAAATCGGGAAAGGAATACGTCAAGGCTGTATACTGTCACCTGCTTATTTAACTTATATGCAGAATACGTCATGAAAAACACTGGACTGGATGATGCACAAGCTGGAATCAAGATTGCTGGGAGAAATACCAATAACCTCAGATATGCAGATGACACCACCCTTATGGCAGAAAGTGAAGAAGAACTAAAGAGCCTCTTGATGAAAGTGAAAGAGGAGAGTGAAAAAGTTGGCTTAAAACTCAACATTCAGAAAACTAAGATCATGGCATCTGGTTCCATCACTTCATGGGAAATAGATGTGGAAACAGTGACAGACTTTATTTTTTTGGTCTCCAAAATCCCTGCAGATGGTGATTGCAGCCATGAAATTAAAAGACGCTTGCTTCTTGGAAGAAAAGTCATGACCAACCTAGACAGCATATTAAAAAGTAGAGACTACTTTGCCAACAAAGGTCTGTTTAGTCAAAGCTATGGTTTTTCCAGTGGTCATGTATGGATGTGAGTGTTGGACTATAAAGAAAGCTGAGCACCAAAGAATTGATGCTTCTGAACTGTGGTGTTGAAGAAGACTCTTGAGAGTCCCTTGGACTGCAAGGAGATCCAACCAATTCATCCTAAAGGAGATCAGTCCTGAATATTTGTTGGAAGGACTGATGCTGAAACTCCAAAACTTTGGCCACCTGATGCGAAGAACTTACTCATCTGAAAAGACCCTGATGGGAAAACATTGAAGTAGAGAGGCGAAGGGGACGACAGAGGATGAGATGGTTGGATGGCATCACCAACTCAGTGGACATAGGTTTGGGTGGACTCTGGAAGTTGGTGATGGACAGGGAAGCTTGGCGTGCTGCAGTTCACAGGGTCGCAAAGAGCTGGACACGACAGCGACTAAACTAATACTGATATATAAGATCCAGAAATGTTTGTAGTTATGTGTGGGAGAATAAAATATCAACAATATGATGATAATAACAGTCTTAATCATGAGCAAAATAGACCACATTGTGACTTCTTTTGCTAATATTTACATTTTCTTTCCATTTCTCAGCTCTCAAACACCTATGGCCCTGTGTTCACAGTGTATTTTGGCTTGAGGCCCACTGTTGTGTTGCATGGATATGAAGCAGTGAAAGAAGCCCTAATTGATCGGGGAGAAGAGTTTTCTGGAAGAGGCAATCTCCCAATGTCTCAAAGAGTTAATAAAGGATATGGTAGGTGTGCATGTGCACGTGTCCAACATTGCTAATGGGGATGGGGAGAGTGGAAAAGAGGAATTTGAAGAGCCCCCTCAGCAGAGCTTGGTCCATCTCTGAGGCTGCCAAGTGTCGGCTCACTCCTCCTTCTCTAGGGCCTCCCTCCTAGTTTCTGTTTCTCTTTCTGGTAGGAATCCTCTTTAGCAATGGGAAGAGATGGAAGGAGATCCGACGCTTCTCCCTCATGACCTTGAGGAATTTTGGGATGGGGAAGAGGAGCATTGAGGATCGTGTTCAAGAGGAAGCCCGTTGCCTTGTGGAGGAGTTGAGAAAAACCAATGGTGGGTAAATCTATGCTCTATTATTCTGACCTCAGCAGACTGCTCTCTTCTCCAGGGACGCCCTTGGAAACATTTCAAGGGCAGCCACATCTTTCATATGGTTCACTGTCTTCAACCCTCCCATGTAGAAGAGAGAGAGACAGGAGAGAGCCAAGAGGGCTTTTGTGTCTCCATGCTTGTTGTGTGTGTACACCCATGAGGGTGCATACAGTGTGGATTAAAGGTCATTTGATCCTATTCTGTTTTGAAATTTTTGTTTTCAGATCATTAGGTCATGAAGATAGGAGGTTTTGAGTCTCATTTTTTTGTGTGTGTTAGAGAGCAATGTTTTCCCCCCATAGTGTCAGTGTGGATTATCTATTCCAGAACATTTCATCAGGGAATATTTGTCAAGTGGACACAGTGGGAATGAATTCATCATGCCCCTCTGGAAGGCGTGTGCTTTCACTTAATTGGCCTGTATTTGTATGGTCAACCTTACTCAGGTGTCTGAGGGTTTCTTCAGACACTCATTGCCTACAGTTCTAGCCAGTAATGATGCTTTTCTACAGTTTAATTACTTAGGTATCCTTCAGTGCAGGCCTCATCCATTGTGATTGCCTTGTAAACAACTTTTAAAATTATCAGCTTGAGTTATTCAATGTTGCTTCTAAGTTACAGTATTGTTTTATGATTCTAAAAAATAGATGCTGTAGAATAATCCTAAAGTGTACACAAATACGAGGTTATAAAATGATTTATTTAGATTTCAGCCTGCCTTCCCTATTAGTTGCTTCCAACTTCAGCTTTCTCTTTACATTTATCTCCCCTCCCTTACTAGTAAAGAATCTTCCTGGAGTGTTGGAGACCTGGGTTTGATCCCTGTGTTGGGAAGATACCCTGGAGAAGGGAAAGGCTATCCACTCCAGTATTCTGGCCTAGAGAATTCCCATGGATTGCCTTGTGGAGGAGTTGAGAAAAACCAATGGTGGGTAAATCTATGCTCTATTATTCTGACCTCAGCAGACTGCTCTCTTCTCCAGGGACGCCCTTGGAAACATTTCAAGGGCAGCCACATCTTTCATATGGTTCACTGTCTTCAACCCTCCCATGTAGAAGAGAGAGAGACAGGAGAGAGCCAAGAGGGCTTTTGTGTCTCCATGCTTGTTGTGTGTGTACACCCATGAGGGTGCATACAGTGTGGATTAAAGGTCATTTGATCCTATTCTGTTTTGAAATTTTTGTTTTCAGATCATTAGGTCATGAAGATAGGAGGTTTTGAGTCTCATTTTTGTGTGTGTGTTAGAGAGCAATGTTTTCCCCCCATAGTGTCAGTGTGGATTATCTATTCCAGAACATTTCATCAGGGAATATTTGTCAAGTGGACACAGTGGGAATGAATTCATCATGCCCCTCTGGAAGGCGTGTGCTTTCACTTAATTGGCCTGTATTTGTATGGTCAACCTTACCCAGGTGTCTGAGGGTTTCTTCAGACACTCATTGCCTACAGTTCTAGCCAGTAATGATACTTTTCTACAGTTTAATTACTTAGGTATCCTTCAGTGCAGGCCTCATCCATTGTGATTGCCTTGTAAACAACTTTTAAAATTATCAGCTTGAGTTATTCAATGTTGCTTCTAAGTTACAGTATTGTTTTATGATTCTAAAAAATAGATGCTGTAGAATAATCCTAAAGTGTACACAAATACGAGGTTATAAAATGATTTATTTAGATTTCAGCCTGCCTTCCCTATTAGTTGCTTCCAACTTCAGCTTTCTCTTTACATTTATCTCCCCTCCCTTACTAGTAAAGAATCTTCCTGGAGTGTTGGAGACCTGGGTTTGATCCCTGTGTTGGGAAGATACCCTGGAGAAGGGAAAGGCTATCCACTCCAGTATTCTGGCCTAGAGAATTCCATGGACTGTATAGTCCATGGGGTTGCAAAAAGTTGGACACAACTGAGAGACTTTCAGTTTCCCTTTCCCATGTTTTGTATTTTCTATATTGTATGATACTTTGACATCTTGGGAGGCCTTGCAGACCTGGGGAGCAACTGCCTCTCCCAGGGTCAGTTAATCCTGAGATAGAGCATCACATCTTTTCTACGAGTGTGCCTGTGATTTTTCAAGCCAACCATCCAGAGCCCATACCCTCTGGATACCTACTTTATGAAACCCTCACACACCAAGCCAACCCAAGGCATTATGGGACAACCAGGGACCATCCCTACTGCCTAACTGCTGTTGCTGCTAAGTCACTCCAGTCGTGTCCAACTCTGTGCGACCCCATAGACGGCAGCCCACCAGGCTGCTCTGTCCCTGGATTCTCCAGGTAAGAACACTGGAGTGGGTTGCCATTTCCTCCTCCAATGCGTGAAAGTGAAAAGTGAAAGTGAAGCTGCTCAGTCTTGTCTGACTCTTTGAGACCCCATGAACTGCAGCCTACCAGGCTCCTCCATCCATGGGACTCTCCAGGCAAGAGTACTGGAGTGGGTCGCCATTGCCTTCTCCCTACTGCCTAGAACCCTCTGAAATTACCCAAACTATCCAATCCTAAGGTTAGTTAGCATACTGACCCCACCTTGCTCATTTCTTCTATGAAAACCCATGAAAGCTTTGCTCCATGCTCTCTCCTGACCAATCTTGGTGCTTCCCCGTGTGGCCCTGTGTGGGAACAAACTATCTTCTCTATGACTATCATCTCCTGATCTGTTGACCTCATCATGTGAATAAAAATAAAACCCCAAGTACATTTTAAAACAATTGGATTTGGGACTAGAACTCTTAGGGTAATTTTTCACCCCTACTGCTAGCTGTATTGACTTATGAAGCGCTTGTCACAATGAGTCTTATTTTCAGTCTGGATTCCAAATTATCTGCTTTGTAAGTCTTCCTCTCCAGTGATGTGACAGGAAAAATTAAAAGTCAGATTTTAGTTGTCACACACATGGACATTTCATTTTAACATTTCTTGTTTGTTTTGTGATTGAAGTTTGAAATGAAGAATTCTTACTTTCATTTGAGGCAAACAAATCTTACAACTTGTAGTTTATTTGTGTTACTTTTTCTTCTCATACAGCGTGGATGACTTTTACTTTTACTCATTTTTCCATCAAATACCTGAATTTTTCCATAATCTTTCTCTCTTAAATCTCTTCTTTTTCTGATCCTACCAGTCATTCCTTCAACTATTTATTATATATAAAAGGTTCCCAGGTTCCTAAATATTTTTTCCTTCATACATAGTGCTTAATTGTCTAGCTTACCAGACAGATGTGATTCTGTACTGATAGATAACTTGAATTATTGTTTTTAACCGGACCTTTAAAATTTTTTTACATTCTTCAAAATAACCAGCAATTTGGCTCAGGGCAGTGAAGTAAATGGAGATTTTGGAAACCAGTTATTAAACAAGCTAGGATGGGGGAGTTCCTTGTTGGCTGAATGGTTAGGATTCTGGGCTCTCTCTGCCATGGGCCCAGGTTCAGTTTGTAGTGAGCTGAGATCCCTCAAACTGTGCAGCCCAGCTAAAAAGTTAAAAAAAAAAAAAAAAAAAAAGGTCTGTTAAACAAACAAGGATGGAATGGTCAATTCATGTTAAAAGCAATAGTAATGTATTTTAAGCATGCTTAAATTTTTGCCGATAAGGGAATTTCTATGTAGATGTTGATTCAGAGATTCTAAAATTATCTGTTATCCACAGCACAGTTTTATATTTATATTTTAACAGTGTTTTATAAATCTTTTCAATTCTTTAGGGTCACCCTGTGATCCCACTTTCATCCTGGGCTGTGCTCCCTGCAACGTGATCTGCTCCATTATTTTCCAAAATCGGTTTGATTATAGAGATCAGAATTTTCTTAATTTGCTAGACAAATTTAATGAAAGTCTCCAGATTATGAGCTCCCCATGGATACAGGTAAGGTCAGGTTCCTTTTTTCCTGAGAAGTCATCTGTGTTCTTTTCTCTGACAAGTTCAGAATTCAGTATGGACCAAGCTGTGAAGAGAATGTTTGAAAACTGAACATTTTGGATATTAAAATGTGGCGACTGGGAATCAGATTTCCCCTCTTTGCTTTGTTTTTTAGTTTGATATAGTTTCTATTTGTTTGTTTGACTTTTGAAAGCTGTAGCTATTCATTTATTTAGTGAGTTTTCTAAACTGTTCTGGCACAATCTTTTTTTTTTTTTTTTTTGTCTAGTGTGGTTGCTGATATTTCTGTTCCTTTAGCTTATGTTCAGCTAGTGTTTGGATAGACTTTTTTGTTTGTTTGTTTGTTTGTTTTTTTGCTTTGCTTTTCTTTTTAAAAAATTGAATAAAATATTTTTTAAGTTCTGTAGTGCTTTATAATTTTCAGAAGTTTCACCCACAAGATTTCATATAATCCCAAAAAACCCCTTTTTCCCTCACTACCCTTGTATTGCCCCTCTCCTCTCCCTCTATAGCTTGGTTTCATATCTGTGAGTCTGTGGATAGCAATGTCACTGGATGTGAGGATCCTAAGAAAAGAAAGGTGAGACAAAGAGATGGAGATGGAGATAGAGAGGAAGGGAGGAAAGGAGAAAGGGAGAAAGGGAGGAAATAAAGGGAAAGAAATGACTCCTCTAGACTTGTCCTTGCATGCTTAGTTGCGCAGTCATGTCCGACTCTTTGTGATCCCATGGACTATACCTGTGAGGCTCCTTTGTTCATGGGATTTCCCAGGCTTTCCCCAGTATCCTGGCTTGTCCCAGGGATTTCCCAGTATCCCAAGAATACTGTGGTGGGTTGCCATTTCCATCTCCAGGGGATCTTCCTGACCCGGACTGAACTTTTGCATTGGCAGGTGGGTTCTCTTATCACTGGGCCGCCCGGGAATCCCTTAGCCAGGTTATTTTCAACTCTCTTGGTCTTTGCTTGTTACTTGCACTCAGCCTAGAGATCAGCCAGAGGTGAAAGCTTAGTCTCTTCTTAGGTCTTTTCTTAGCAGGTGTCCTGCCCTGGGCATGTGTATAGCTTTCTAAATTCCTCAGTATATGTGGGTGCTTTTGATGCCCTAATTTCTTAAAGGCACTCCCTCCCCAGCTGTTCTTTCTGGAGTTTGGTGCTCTGTTGTGTGCCTTAATTGTAATCTTTTGCTCCAGGCAACTGTGGGTTTTTCATTAATCTTGCCAGGTCTTTGAGAATCCCTACTGTGTTTCTACCCTAAGTTTCAAGTCAGATGAAACAAAAACAAGTGCCGGAATCAGTGCCTCCGGTGGCCCCAGACAGGTTAGAACACAGATACACAGTTCTTTGTTAGTGAAGTCTGCTCTGGTCCCACCAGAATGAGGAACCAGGCTCCCATACCACAAGCTGCCCTTGTTAAGGCCACTGCCAAGGAAGGAGGTAGGACAAGGGAAAAAAAAATAACAGATCTTTTCTGCTGTTTTTAAGTTGTCTTTTCCTTGATTCAACATTTATGTGATTGCTATAAACCTTGGTGCTCTAGAGTTCTGACAAGTTGATTCTGATAGTATTTGCTTAATTTTCTGACACTTTTTAAAAGAGGGATAGGCCTTTTGAGTTGTCTACTGTATCATTTTTGCTGATATTATTCTAAATGAATGTTCAAACGTAACAGTCCTGCCTTAGTGTCATAAAGTAAACATCTGAGAAAGGTGGCTGTGCCTTTATTTTACAAAGAAAAGAAATGCCTGAATATAAAGCTGGAATTCAAGACTCTTGACTCCCTGGCCAGTGGTTTTTCCACTACCCCACCCAAACCCAGTTTCCATAAACTACTTTGGTGACTGCCCAAAAGCATACCCACAGCACTCAATGAACGTCCAGGCCCTTACTGGAAGGTTTCCATTGTTCACAGGCTTGTCCTCCAATCACACTTAGTAATATCCTCATCACATTACTTAGCAGAAATATCCTACTTTAGGAAGAAAGAGAATATCTCTTTCAGAGAGGAAGAAAGTTTGTGAACAGTGATGCCACCGGGAACACTGACCAGGGCAGGGGTGTTTGATGCTTTAGTTAGTATCCTAGCTGACCAGGTTATTGGGCTTGGAATGATAAAACTTCCAAACTTCCTTGACCTCTGTCTTCATCTATAAAATGTGCTTCATAGTAATTCATCTTACTCTGTATTTCAAAGTTATAAAGAAGAATTAATTTAGAAAGAGAATTGACATAAAAATGCTTTAATAACATAAAGTTGTTGTATGAATATAGGAAATTACTGTCAACATTTATCACCTGGTCAGAGTTTTCTCCCTTAAATACCTCTATCAGCATAAAGAATTATTTTATATGTACAATATAAAAAGCTCCTCCTGAAGATATAGACCATTTTTATTCACTTCAGTTTCTAACCAGGGCTTGGGATATGGTATATATGTCTTCAACATATATTTTTAATTTAATAAATACATATTTTTAATCTTCAAGGTCTGCAACAGTTTCCCTATTCTCATCGACTATTTCCCAGGGAGTCATAACAAAGTACTTAAAAATTTTGCTTATATAAAAAGCTATGTTTTGGAGAAAGTAAAAGAACATCAAGCAACTCTGGACATTAACAATCCTCGGGACTTCATTGATTGTTTCCTGATCAAAATGGAACAGGTAAAATGTTGATGACAGATTGGTTATCTGTTTGCGTGAATTTTTTTGTTTATTAACTTGTTCTGTACTTATTAGGGATGTTTAATGGTTAGAGAAGAAATGCTTGATTAGCACTTTGGGTACTGTTTGTGCATGGATTTGGTTTGAGCATCATGGGAGATTTAAAATTGACCTGTTAAATAACTGGGATACATGGACCTTGTCTGTTGGGTACTAATAGGCTGGCTGAGAAGAAAGAGAACACACATCTCAGGTGAAATGGAAGTGCAGACAAGTGAGAAATACGAAATACTGAGCCATAAAAGGAAGGTGGGTGTGATCATTTCACATAGCATGTGGGAGAGTGAGAAGGAAGGGTTTAGCCTGCTTGGGTTTCCTGTATGTCCTGAAGCTTGATGTATATCTTCAAATATTTGCAACAAGTCATCGGGGAGGGAATTTCAGATTGGTAGAATGATGTCATGAGAGGTTCAGAGGTGTTTGTGGGACAGAGACTAGGTGGATAGAAGAGAGAAGCCTTAGCTGAGTGTAACCAAAAATAATTCTGGACAGATATAGAGTTGGAGGTTGGTGTCCTTCAAGTAAATGTGAATGAGAAGTTTTGATTTTTTCAGGTAGATGTATGAACCAGAACAAGAGTAGAATGAAAATAATTACTGGGGAAGATTATCCTGGGAGTTCTGTAGAATGACCTGTACAATAAGAATGGAGCTCAAGGACCAGCTATGAGATTTTTAATTTCTTTGGACTTTGGCTTGAGGAAAGTCTGGAACATAGAAATGCAGAGGATTCTGAAATAAAATCAATCTGTCCATCTTGTCATATTATCAGAGATCTATAAAGATTAATTTTAGTTAGAAGAGAGGATGAGAGCCAAATTTTAGGGGCTGTCTGGGAAATCTCAGTAAAAAGATCAAATTTCTTACCTGAGAAGTTCAACCAAGGAGGGAAAAATTCAGATAGTAAATCTTAATAGTGAATATGATTAGTGGTAGGGTCAAGGTGGAAACTGTGGCAAGAACAATATAGGTGCCATAAAAAAATCTGTGTAGGTGCAAAGCCGCTCTTGAACTAGGGAAAGGCAGAATCCAGTAAAAGCTATAAAAAGCACTGTAGAAGCTAATTCTAGAGAAAGAAATTTCTTCATCTGAGGCCATCATTATTTTATTCAACCACTTTATAGCACTGGGCAGAAATGAGAAATCAGTTAGTAGGCTAAAATGGCAAGGAGTCAAAGATGCTGATGAAGATGACATTCGAAGAATTGCTCATGGATTTGAACTGGACTGCTCAAATCATGTGTTTTGAACAGAATAAAGGGAAGCACATGGAGTGGCTTAGAGAAATGGGAGGAAGGAAGAAGCAAATCTGCTCTCTGCTTTCTCTGTTGCTTGAGCAATGATTTTTGTCTCTCTGGGTCCCAGGTGATTTGAGAATCTGATTAGGAATAAGGAAACTGTCCTAGAAAGATGCACCTATATGAGTTCTTGATATTTTGCACCTAATTTGAGGGATTGGATTCTCATTATGCTATGAAGTCTCTCCAATAATTCTGGGTTAAGGAGGCTCTAAGATGTCTGGTATTCCATTTAACAGTGGCTGTTTCATCAGTGCTATGTTTAAAACCCTTATTGTTTCTCTGGACTTCACTATCATATTTATTTTTTTATAGCATCTTTATTCAGTATTATTTATATACTATATCCCTCACACATTCAGTATACAATTCAGTATTTTCACAGAGTTGAAAAACTACCACCACGATCAATTTCTGAATATTTTTATCACCTTAAAAAGAAACCTCATATGCTTTTGGAGTCACTGTTATTCCTCCCCAATCTCCCCAGTTCTAGGCTTCACTAACCCATCTTCCATTATTATGTTTGTTATTCTGGACATTTCATATTAATGAAATTACACAATATGTGTCTTTTGTGTCTAGCTTCTTTCAATTAATGCTTTCAGAGTTCATTGATGATGTAGCACACATCAGTATTTCATTCCTTTAAAGGATTAAATGGCATTTCAGTGTGGATATACTACATTTTATATACCTGTTTGTTGTGCTCGCTTTGGCAGCACATATACTATATATCTGTTTGTTGGTTGATGGACAATTTGGTTCCTTCTATTTTGGTTTTCATGAGTTTGTGGACATTTGTGTACAAGTTTTTTTTTTTTTTTTTTTGTGTGTGTGTGTACAAGTTTTATGTATGTATGTGTCTGTTAAGTTGCTTCAGTCATGTCCAACTCTTTGTACCCTATGGACTGTAGCCTGTCAGCTCCTCTGTCCATGGGATTCTCCAGGCAAGAATACTGGAGTTGGTTGCCATGGCCTCCTCCAGGGGATCTTCCCAAACCAGGAATTGAACCCTTATCTCTTACACTTGCTGTAATGGCAGGCGGACTCTTTACTACTAGCACCACGGGGGAAGCCCCACAAGTTTTGTATACACATATGTTTTAATTTCTCTTGGGTATATACCTAGTGATAGAGTTGTTGGTGGGCTTCCCAGGTTGCACAGTGGCAAAGAATCGGCCTGCCAGTGCTAGAGACACAGGAGATAGGAGTTCAATCCCTGGCTCAGGAAGATCCCCTGAAATAGGAAATGGCAATCCACTCCTGTATTCTTGCCTGGGAAGTTCCAAGGACAGAGGAGCCTGGTGGGCTGTAGTCCATGGAGTCACAAAGAGTTGAACACAACTGAGCACAGCACAGATAGATGATAACTTTGTATTTAACCTTCAAAGGAATTGTGGCAGATCAAAGTCTTAATGTAAGAGTTGAAGCTATAAAACTCTTAGAAGAAAACTTACACATAAAATTGACTGCACCATTTTATATACTCATCAGCAGTGTATGAAGTTTACAGTTTATTCACATATTTGACAGTGCTTCTAATTATCTGTCTTTTTGATTCTAGCCATCCTAGTAGAATCTGATCCATTTTCACATGGATCATGTTGCATCTGTAGGTCAGTTTGGGAGTAATGCCATCTTAACTATTCTAAATCTTTCAATAGATAAACATGGAATATATTTCCATTTATTTAGGTCTTCTTTAATTTCTTTCAGCAAGGTTTTGTATAGGCTAGCTTACTTTTGATAGGCTATGTATACATAACCACTGGTCCTTCAAATTCACTTGAACAGATAGAAATAGCAATAACAATTTATAAGAATTCTACTCTCCTTGGCCTCGGAGCAATTTTGAGTTGACAAACTTAGAAACTGTGTGAAGGTGATGTTACCAATGGGGATAACTACTTTTGTCTATCAGGTACAACTGTGATAGGGTTAAGTCTATCTTAATGGTGTTGGATTACATAATATTGGGCATGCCACAGGTCACTTGGGGATTATAAGAGTCTTATTAAATTAATGCTAGTCTAGAGGACTGGATAGGAAAAAATGATTATTTTTTGGTATGTTCATGACCTGTGTAGTCAGTATTTCAGATTGTTCCATTGTTATTACCAATTTTATGTCACATATATCCCTCCTCCAAACCCACCTTAGTTGTCTTTGTGAAGGGCTTTTACTCTCCCAACTTCCAACTTGGGAGAACTTTATTCAGTTAATTCCTTATTCTGAGCATCTGCACTTGTTTCCTTGACCAAGCTGCCTATTGCCTCACATCTTGGAATACAGTAGTGGCTGGCCCCATTTTGTCTTTGTATGTGGGATAAATAAACTCACTATTTCTTTAAACCACTGTTAACTTTTTTTTTTTTGTAGGCAAACACAACTTTTATTGATAGAAATGAGCAAATTAGAGCCATATCTTGAAAAATGTTATAAACCAGAATCAAGAGTTTGCAATTCTCTTTTTCTTTTAAACCATTTTATCTGGACTCTGCCTAAAGACCCATGAAGAGGTTGAAAATGTGAAAAAGCTAACATCCAGTACATCCTAGAATAGATTACAAAGAGAAAGAATGGATTCACAGAGACTCTTATGTTGGGAAGTCCAGGACTAGTCATGAATTACATTGAACTCAAGTGCCTTCCATTTTTCTTCAGCATATTTAAGTATTTAGGTTTCATTTTCATGCTCAGATACTCATGTTTCAAAATGATGACTACACCGCTTCTACCTCTGTATCTGTGTTTTGACTATGAAGAAAGAAAGAGAAACTGGCATCAGCAAGCTCTTTAGTAAGAAGTAGGTTACTTGACCAGTGTACCTGCAAAAGAGTCTTGGAATGAAGTTTTTAGGCAAGCTAGGGATGAGGAGGAGGAAATCAAGACTGCATCAGCCCAGTCCACACACTTTGCCAGTTGTAGTACTGCACTCGAGTGTCTAGGTTTGTTTAGCTTTTTAACAGGGTGTGTTATTTTGGATTGATTTTAATTATTTATGCTGGCAAACTAACAGATAATTACATCAAATAACTCATAGGAAAAGCACAATCAAGAGATGGAGTTTACTTTTGAAAACTTGATAGCAACTGTGACTGATTTGTTTGGAGCTGGGACAGAGACAACAAGCACCACGCTGAGATATGGGCTCCTCCTGCTGCTGAAGCACCCAGAGGTCACAGGTATGATAACATGGTGGGCAGGGTAAGTTTCGGGGAAGATATTGGGTCTTCTGTCTTATAATTTCTCTTAGAGAAGCTTTAGTTTTGAAATTTCTATGCCACCAGCTATAAGCTGCCGAAATATTTTCTTAAAAAAGGTGAAAGTAAGACAAATTTGTATAGTAGGGAGGATTGCTGAGAAAAGTGAAGACAGTATGAGGAGTAGCAAAGGCAATAAAGCTATGGATTTCATCAATAAAAAATTTTGGTTAAGTGTCTGGACTTCATGGGAAGGGATTTGCAGCAGGCACAACCAGCATAAATTGGCCTACAATGCAATATTGGTTTTCTTAAGAAGTAGACACTTGTTTTTACAGAAATCTTTCCCTGTTCTAAATATGAAGCATCATAATGCTAGGGTAGGGAAGATGGGAGCTATATTGTTGAAGTATAGCAGAAATTCTAGGAATTTGGTGAGAAAGCCTGAGAATATTTTCACAGTCTGAAAAGTACTTTAAAAGGTTATATTTAGAAAAAGATATATGCTATTTAGACGAAGATGTACCTAAAAGAATTTTTTCCCTTTTTAAACATTAAGTAAGATAGCATTTCAAGTTGCAAATAAATACACACACAATACATATACAATTGCAAACCATACATACATCAGTTATACAATTTGATTTATAAAACATTGCATATTATTTTTATATTAAAATAATACTACTTGATTCCTGTTTTTCTTTCTGTGATTGTCAAGACCAGCTCAACAAGCTGGGTTTTTGAAAGTGTGATATGGCGAGAGAATAAGAAATGAGACACAAGAATTCATAGAAAAGTGAGGATCAGGGGACCAACACCACTCCAAGGTGAAGGTGCTGAAACTGAATCCAAGCCAGCTTTATTATACTTTCAGCCGTGAATGAAAGAATATGTGGGGAGTTAAACTATAATTTATGTGGCCTTCAGGGCCAAAGAACAAAATGATCATTAATTACCATTGAGTGATTAGGAAGCAGTAATCAATAACAAATCAGTAACTAAGACTACTATTTTTATTGATAGATTTTCCACTAGATACGTAAAACACGTGACTCTTGAGACGCCGGTTGAGAAATAGTCTGGGGTCGGTTTTCCGATCCCAGGATCATATCTTCTTTTCAAGATTATGAACTGTTCCCTCTGGACTCGTTCCAAGAGTCTCATGCCTTGTAGCATCCAGTTTATCAATAATTATAAATTTCTTTTGTGGCCCTTGCTGGGGCCTGCTTTTCTTTTATTCTTCCTGTCTCCTACATCTCCCCCTTTTTGATTTTGTACGTGATAAGAAATGGTGAGAAATGTTAGTTGCTGTTGTTGGCTGCGTTGTCTCTTGATTGTTTTTCTCTAGACTATAAAGAAACACAAACACATAATTAATAGCACTCCCATAACCAGAGCAATTCCATATCCAAATGTCTTGATCTGTTTTAAGGGATTAAGACAAGAAAGATTATCAGCAACAGTATCAAGAAAATATGATCCAGAAATTACATCGAGATGTTTATTAAAAGCTTTTAATATATCTTGTTGTAAATCTTGAATATCTACAGAAATATTATCTTGGTTCAATAGGTGTTGTTTAATTTTATCCCATCTGAATTGTGTCTTATTATATTTGAAAGCTGTTATACAAAAGGAAGTATAGTTCCAATCACATTTTAGTCTCACCTGTTTTTGTAAACTGATTAGTTGATCTCTTAACAAAAATAACAGATTGTTGAAGGTTGGTCACCTGGGAGGCCAACCTTCTATCATTTTTTTGTTGAGTGGTCCAAAGGACATAGGCATCTTTATGTCATTCTTGTAAAAAATGAACTGTTTGCACAGATTTATGAAGAGCCATTTCAGCTACGGCTGTTGTAGTGGTAATAGCAATAATGTCTAAGATGGCAGCAATTATCAATATCAGAAAACATTTAACATGTTTATGATTTTTTAATATTTCTTCAATGACATAAAATGTAGGGCTTTCTTGTCAAGGTCGTTGTAAATCAACTGGAACCCATATGTTAGTTTTGGCTTTAAGAATGTAAATACTGTCAACTTTTATCAAAAGGAATGGTATTATTTATACATGTATAAAATGAACGGTTAATAGATGTTACTAATCTCAAATTGGGATCATATTTTGTTGGTCCGATCATAAAAACCAAAGGAATTTTTACACAAGTCTGAATAGTGTGGATAGAGTTTTTTTGTAAAATTGGGTCATTTGAAATATATTCAGTATATCGTCTTTTCCAAGCAATTAGTTTTTTTAATATCATGGATATTTTCCATATTTTATCATGAATAGGATAATGATCTAAATGAGGCACAGGGGGAGCTAATCCTACCCCATGTCATATGAGGGGTTGACTACCATAAGTACTAATTGTCTTATCATTATATAACCATGGGGAAGACACTTTAGATTTTATAAGTTTAAGGATTTCTTGGGGTCCCCAATCGATAATGGAGCCTTCTGCAACATTTAATAATAAGGACCTTCTGATCCTTTACATAATTTTCATCTTAACCAATTTTCAATACCATGGCAAATTTCAGCAACACAATCAGGAAGGTCAGGTAGATTCATCATGCTGGAAGTTTCCTCTTTTTCTAAAAAAGTAAGAGCAGTTAACAGAAAGAGGGAAGTCTTATCTTCATTTGATTCTTTGACAACTGACAGCCACTTTTGATATCCTGTTTTAAGGCATATACTTCCAAAAGCAATACAAATTCAGGAGTGGCATCAGAACCAATAGTATAATTTATCAACTGACTATCTTCTTCTTCCTTTACAGTCTATTTTAATATGTCCTAATTTTCCATGTTGGTGACATCTCATATCTGTCTTTTATTAGCTTTAGACAATGTTTGAGCCAGAAGTTGCATTGTATATGGTTCTGACCCAGTATCCTGGCAAACTTTAAAATATTCTTCTAGAGGGGCACCCTGTGCTTTGAGAGCCTGAATCACCTTTTCCTATTCTGAGTTAACATTGTCATAAGCAAGAACTGGCATCAGCAAATCTCTCAAACCACGTTGTGAGACTGTTTTATTTAAATTTTGATGTAGCCTGGCAATAAAATCTACATAAGGTTCCCTATCTGATTATTTAATTTGGGTAAATGAAATCGAGCCTTGTCCGGGTGGATTTATTTTCTCCCAGGCTTTTAAAACATATCATTCTCACTTGAGTGAGTAATTGATTATCAAGTTGTAACTGAGCTTGAATGTCAAAATGTGCCCCATTACCCATTAATTGATCAAGTGTTATAGCAACTGGCAGGTTGGCTGTTGCATTTCTGCGAGCTTGTTGATTTGCCTCATCTTGCCATCAGGTCCTAGATTGTAAAAATTCTGAGGTGGATAGGCAAGTTCTGGCTATCATTTTCCAATCATAAGGAATTAACCGTTCAGCTTTGAAAGTCCCTGAATTAGTCCCATGGTATAAGGAGAATTAGTTCCATATTGGGTACATGCCTGTTTTATCTCCTTTGTAGTTTTAAATGGTATGGCATTATAATCATAATGCATTCCTCCTTGTGGGAATTGAGGATCTGGTGGGATTTGAGTTACAGCCACAGGGAGAACTAAAGCGTCTTCATCCCCCTGCAACTGTGCCATACAAACTCCCTTTTGTAAAGGCGTCATTTTATTAGGCACAGTTATCTGTGGTTTAAAAGCAAATCCATCATCTCAAGGGGTTTCAGGATTGAAAGGAGGGGGCTCGACCGAAGGTGTAGTTGGTTGAGCGAGAAAGATCTTTTCTTGATTTCTATCTTTTTTTTTTGGCTCTTATTTTTTATTTTTATTGATTGTTTCTCTTTTTCATCACCTATGTTATAATATAAATTCATTTTCTCCATTTGTTCTTGTGTTTGTTCTACGGAATCCCCTGAATCTGAGGTTTCAGATTGCAGCGGTCCTAAAGCTGTGTTTATAAGATTCCCTACTGACCATACATACAGACAAAGGAATCTTTTCGCCGCGTTGGTAGGCACGGCGCAGGCAACGGATATCTTTTTGCCTTTCTTCATGCCTCAAAGTCCCTTTATTTGGATCTAGCCAGTAGCAATATTTTTCAATGGCAGAAAACAATTTTTTAGAAGAGGAGTGAGATATCTCAACCCCCGAACTTTTTAACAAAGTTTTTAGCACTTGCATATAGTCACTATGTTTAGAAGGATTTTGCCCCATTGTTACTCTGATTGACAAATCCGCAGGGGTGTACTTACCAAGTACTTTCTTCGTCGGCCGTCTGCCGAGCTGGCCGGATTTCCCTGCGTTCTCTGCTGCTAGGAGCTAGCCTCGCAGGCTGAATTCACTTTCGGGTCCCTTTTCCTGCGCCACTTGTCTAGACCAACTCGACAAGCAGGGATTCCGAAAGCGCGATATGGCAAGAATGAGAAAAGAGACACAAGAATTCATGGAAAAGCGAGGATGGGGGACCAACACCGCTCCAAGGTGAAGGTGCCGAAACTGAATCCAAGCCAGCTTTATTATACTTTCAGCCGTGAATGAAAGAATATGTGGGGAGTTAAACTATAACTCATGTGGCTTTCAGGGCCAAAGAACAAAATGATCATTAACCATTGAGTACTTAGGAAACGGTAATCAATAACAAATCAGTAACTAAGACTAATTTTCTTATCTATAGATTTTCCACCAGATATGTAAAACCTGTGACTCTGAGACGCTGGTTTTCCGACCCCAGGATCATATCTTGTTTTCAAGATTATGAACTGTTCCCTCTGGACTCGTTCCAAGAGTCTCATGCCTTATAGCATCCGGTTTATCATAATTATAAATTTTTTTTGTGACCCTTGCCGGTGTCTGCTTTTTTTTTTTATTCTTCTTGTCTCCTACATGTGATGATAGAAATTTCTTGACTTAATAATATACTGCTTGTGTTTAAAGTGTTTCATCATTTCTATTTTTTATTAATGATCCTCTATGCTAATATATGGGCTTCCCAGATGGTGCTAGTGATAAAGAACCTGCCTGCCAATACAGAAGATGTAAGAGAGGCAGGTTCGATCCCTGTGTTCAGAAGAGCCCCTGGAAGAGGACATAGCAACCCCCCCCCCAGTATTTTTGCTGGGAAAATCCCATGGAAAGAGGAACCTGGCAAGCTACAGTTCATAGGGTTGCAAAGAGTTGGACATGACTGAAGTGACTTAGCATGCATCAGTGCTAATATATAGACTTCCCTGGTGGCTCAGATGGTAAAGAATCTGCCTGTGATGCAGCAGACAAGGGTCAGGAAGATCCCCTGGAGGAGGGCATGGCAACCCATTCCAGTGTTCTTGCCTGGAGAATCCCACGGACAGAGGAGCCTGGTGGGCTACTGGTCCATAGGGTCAGGAAGAGTCAGACACGACTGAGTGACTAACACTTTTTTCACTTTTCATGGTAATATATAGGTGTGCACAGATTTATCTCAAAGTCTAGCTTGTATGAGGGTCATTTGTACTTGTAATATGATAACTCTCTAAGTCTAGGTGTACTTCTGGACATATCAGTTCAGTTCAGTTCAGTTCAGTCACTCAGTCGTGTCTGACTCTTTGCGACCCCATGAATCGCAGCACACCAGGCCTCCCTGTCCATCACCAACTCCCGGAGTTTATTCAAACTCATGTCCATCGAGTTGGTGATGCCATCCAGCCATCTCATCCTCTGTCGTCCCCTTCTCCTCCTGCCCCCAATCCCTCCCAGCATCAGGAGGGATGCTGGGAGTCAACTCTTCGAATGAGGTGGCCAAAGTATTGGACATATAATTGATGTTTATAACGACGTTGGAACACCTTTACAGAGTTTTATGTCACCCTGATTTGGTATGAAAATATGGCATGTGTTTTCCTCTTTTTTCCAGTAGTCTTACTTGTGTCTTATCAGCTAAAGTCCAGGAAGAGATTGACCGTGTGATTGGCAGACACCGGAGCCCCTGCATGCAGGACAGGAGCCACATGCCCTACATGGATGCTGTGGTGCATGAGATCCAGAGATACACTGACCTTGTCCCCACCAACCTGCCCCATGCGGTGACCCGTGACATTAAATTCAGAAACTACCTCATCCCCAAGGTAAAATTGTTTCTCTTATAGTGACCTCAACACTCTTGAAGTTCCCATATTCACAGTATGATTTCAGTCCTCAAGATGAGAGAATTGGAAAAACTATACATGTGGCAGCTTGATGGGTTTTGTGCTGTTTCCAATTTGTGGCTATAAATCTTTATGACAGATCTCGATATCTGGCTAAGTCTCCCAAATTTGTTCTGCTTCTTTAATGTTGTTTTGGCTACTCTTAGCTGTTTACATTTCCAGATAAATTTTAATATTCATTTGTCAGTTACCCAATACATTCAGTTGTGATTTTTTTCTTGGTAGTATCAAATCAATTTGGAAATTGACATCTTGACATGTTGATGCTTTCAATTCACAGATACAGTTAATCTGGATTTTCTTTAATTTTTTTGATACTGTTTTGTTTTTAGTACAGTGACTTGCACATCTGTTATGTTTTTCTGAGATAAGTAATATTTTTGATCATCTTATACATTTTATAATTTTAAAATTGCTTTTTCCATTTTTTGGTATATCAAAATATCAAGATTTTATTATCTTGATGCCCTTATATCTAGCAACTTTTCCAGATTCATATATCATTGTTAATAATTTGTCTGTAGATTTATTTGTAATATCTATATGCACCACAATTCTGCTACCTGGTTTAATACTTGTTTTATTCTTTATTTTCCAATTCTCATGACTTTGATTTACTTTATTGCATTATCACACTGGCAGGATTTCAAGGATAATATTGAACAAGGTGGTGATAGTGGCAGTTGTTTCATTTATGATATCCTGGGAGAGGTGAAGATTATATATCTCATCATTGAGAATGATATTTTATGTACATTTTTGTAAATATAAAAAAAACAGATTAGGGAAATACTTCCTAATCCTATTTTTGTATGATTTTGGGGATAAACTTTATTTTTTATAGCAGTTTTAGGTTCACAGCAATTTTAAGCTGAAGATACAGTGATTTCCCATATACTTCCTGCCTCCACACATGCATTGCCTCACCCATTATCAATATCCTCTACCACACTGGTACCCTTTTTTACAATTGATGAGCCTATACTGACCATCATTAGCATCCAAAGTTCATCATTTACATTAGGGTTCACTCTTGTACATTCTGTGAGTTTGAGCAAGAGTCTAATGATATGTATCCATCATTGTATTATATAGTATTATATAATATAGTATTATATAGAGTAGTTTCACAGCTCTAAAAATCCTCTGTGCTCTGTCTATTCATCCCTCTCTCCCCCAAACCCCTGGCAACCATTTTATGTCCATTGATTAGGAACTCCCTATTTTCCCCTCTCCCTTGCTGTTCACAGTCTGTCTAATTTTTTCCACAAATGTGTGTATAATTTGATCAAATGAATTCTCTGCTTTTGTTTACATGGTATATATTTTGTTCCCTCTGTCTCTGTCTCTCTCATATATAAAAAGCTGAATTTGGTTTGCTACATTTTATTGAGGACATTTGTATTTATGTTTGTAAGAGGCTGGTCTACAATTATCCTTTCTCAAAAAATTTTTGTCCAACTTCTGATATCAAGGTAATGCTGGCCTCATAAAATAGGTGGGAAATTTTCCATACTGTGGGTATATTTTTATTATGTATATATATTTCTTTTGGGTGTTCAGTTAGTCTGCCTTTTCTGTGCCTAATAAGTTTGGCTTAATCTCAGATATTATATAAGAAAAATACACAGTTTATCTTCTCTGCTAGACAGAATTATGTAACACCTCCTATTTCAGAATTGTATATGTACACAGTCAAAAACTGACTGCAGATGCCAATTTACCTTTCCAAGCTTCTTCCGTCTGGAATCTGGAGACCAATTTTTGTCAGCAGTTTTCCAGTGCTTTCTAACACATGGTTTCTGTTTTTATTCAGACTTTCCAGTTGGTGTCCTACAAGCTATTCTATTTTGAAGACTGCATATGTTACTATTCTATATAAAAATAAGATAACTGAAAATTCTTCTTTGAGGAGAAAAGGGTTGTGAGTTTCTTAAGGTTGAAATTATTACTGCTATCTTCTGGGAAAGATGGAATTCTGAATATCTGTGTGCTCCTTATGACAACCACTAGCCACATGTGCCCAGTGGATGCCTGAAATGTGATTAATGCAACTGAGGAACTGAACTTTAAATTTTATTTACTTTTGACTGGCTTTAAGTATAAATAGCCACAGATCACTCAAGTCTATTATGTTAGAGCTGTTCTAAGTTTTTTTTTTTCCCCTCACATGGGTTAAGAAATGCCTCATCCTTAATTCTGCAACACTAACAACTTGAAAAACTAAAAACAGATATAAATTGAGTGCAATTTCGTTTGGCAGTCAAAACATTACTGGAACTGAAGTGAATCTATTTTTATTCCTTATTTATGCCACTTTGTGTGACTATTCGTGTCCTACTGGAGACATGTGTATACTGTCTGTAATACTAATTGTGTTTACCTCAAAATGTTGCAAGAATTAAACCAGGTAACATATATTTTAAAATATGAGCTAAAACTAAGAGACATTTTCGTCTATCAGAGTGATGAGGTCAAAGGCTGAAAAAATCTTTTACTAGTGAGGATATTCGTAAACAAGTACTTTCAGGTGCCACTGGTAAGACTGTAAATAAGTACATCTTTTTTCTTTTTTTGAAGGACATTTTGGCCATAACTATTAAAAAATAAAGTATATCTTATAATGCAACAGTTATAATTCTTGGTGTCTACTACAAATGCTTGTGAAGGAATATAAAAATGTATCCTTGCATCATTACTTGTAATAAAAAAGTATTTTTAGCTACTAAATATTCATTGCAAGTTTAATGGCACATTTATATTGTGTAGTATGAATAAGGCGGATGCATATGTGTTGACACACTTCCCAGGTGGAGCTTGTGCTAAAGAACCCGCCTGCCAGTACAGGAGTCATCAGAGACACAGGTTCGATCCCTGGGTTGGGAAGATCCCTTGGAGGAGAGCATGGCAATCCACTCCAGTATTCTGGCCTGGAGAATCACATGGGCAGAGAAGCCTGGTGGGCTACTGTCCATAGGGTCACAGAGAGTCTGACAGGACTGAAGTGACTTAGCAGCAGTAGCAGCATATGTGTTGACATCGAACAATATCTAAATTATTTCATTATAGAAAAAAATCAAAGTCTAGTGGATGTTTGTCATTGGGTAAAAAGAGAAGAAAGTGATAAGTAGCATAAATGTATATAGGATTATCTGCTAATATGCATAATATCTGTGGAAGCACATATAACTAGTTGGTGGGAATGGTTGTTTTTGAAGAGTCTAAATGAGTTTGTGCAGCTAGATAGGAAGAAGACTTACTTTTTACTGTGTGTGCTTTTTTGTGACTTAATATTTTCCTCTATTTTTCACTTGAGGTATAAGTTATGTAAAAGAAAAATCACCCTTTTAAGTACAGAGTCTAAAGAGTTTTGACCAATATGTGAAGTTATGTCACTACCAACACAAGTAAGATATAAACACATCTTCATCATCTTGAAAATTTCCCTTATTCTCCTTTTGCCACCAATCCGTTTCCCCCAGTTTTAGCCCCTGATAACCACTAATCTGTTTTTAGTTCTACAGTTTTGCCTTTTCAAGAGTGCAATATAATGGAATGTGACATAAGTGAAATAACTTGTAATCAGTATATGCCTTTAATCTCTTTTTTATGTGGCAGAATATGTTTGATTCATCTTTTTATTGTGTATATTAGTTTATTCCTTTTCTATTGATGAGTAATCCATCATATGGAGTACCACAAATTGTCTGTTCATTGACTGATTGATGAATATGTGGGTTGTTTCCAATTTAGGGCCATTTGAATAAAGGTGCTATAAACATTTCCATATAGGTTTTTGTGTGGATGTAAGTTTTCATTTCTTTTAAGTAATACCGAAGAGTGAAGAGTGTTATTTAAATGTTTAACTTCATTTTTAAAAACCCATCAAACGGTTTTCTAATATGGCTGTGATATTTTACATTCCAAGTAGCAATATATGAATGAGAGTTCCAGTTGCTGGGGGTACCCTTCATCACTTGCCTTTGTTAGTGTTCTTACATTTTTTTTTTTTTTTATTCATTATCTTGTATTAATGGCTTCTGTTTGTTTTGTTTGTGGTATTTATTAGTATTCCTCTAGCCAAATCACCTGCTTTCTACCCCAAACAAAGCAATATGTTTTGAAAATGGTTTTGAGGGGCTGTTCTTGGGTGGTGGTGGGAAAGGGAGTTTTGGTCAGATCGCCATTGATTGGTAGGGGAAAAAAAAATAGAAAAATATGAAACCAAGTACATGTCTCTCCCCATGTATACACCTGTATACATGTCCACTCATATGTCCGGCCAAGCCAGCCCTTGGGGGCTTTGAACAATTATCTCAACGCCTCTTTTCGTTTCCCTTGTCCTGAGAAAGGGAAGGGGCAAAAGGGAGAGATTTCAGATCTGTAAATATTTTTAGACAAACAAAACATTTAAAGCATCGTTACAGACTTTGGTGGAATTGATTGGCATGCCAATGCGCCGAATGAGTTCCCACTTTTCCGTAGAAGGGCTTGCAGGCTTGAGTCAAAAGAGGTCTGACCCCACGAGGAAGGTGGGGGCGGAGGCAGAGGTTAAAGGTTAAAGGTCGGGACCTCAGCGCCAAACGGCGTTCCACTCGTTGGTACCCGTAGTCCTCGCGTGGAGAGTGACAGAGAAGGGGTGGAAGCCACCTCGCGGTTTACACTGTGGGCTCTCCAACGCGCTTCGTTCCGCACAGGGAGCGCCTTGGGGTTGTTGGCCGCGCGGCGCCGTGAGACGTGGTCCAACATGTGGCAAGAGTCTCCTCTCCGAGGGCGCAGGGCACGTGGGGCGGCGCCGCCTGGACCAGGTGGAGAACTCGATTTTCTCGTCCCCCAGCCCGGCACGACAGGCTGGCAGTGCTCACAGAACCCTAGCCGGTGGCACAGTTGCGCATCCCGCAGGGCTTGGGGCCTGGGGGTCGGAAAGGCTGCACTTGGGATGAGGAGGGATGAGGTCGGAGACTAAGCAAAGGCTCATTCCCACACTGTTTTGTTGCTGTTGTTTATGCCTTGCGTTGTGCGTGGCTAAGTGGCCGGGTTGCGGGCAAGCACCGGCCGCCGGCCCTAAAGGGAAGGGACCTTGGTGCGCGGTCTGTGTGTCCCCTGACTCCCCCGCCCTAACACTTGCTGATGCACCCTCTAAATTTTAGACACTGTAATAGTTGTGTAGTGATACCACATTTTGTTTTACTTCTTTTTTTTTTGTCAAATAGTGATTTGTTTTTTTTTTTTTTTCCATATGTTGATTGGCCATTCATATGTGTTCACTGAGTGCTTGCTCAAGTTATAATTCTATTTTTTTATTGGGTTGTTTGCCTTCAGCTCAGTTCAGTTCCGTCGCTCAGTTGTGTCCGACTCTTTGCGACCCCGTGAACTGCAGCACGCCAGGCTTCCCTGTCCATCGCAAACTCCCGGAGTCCACCCAAGCCCATGTCCATTGAGTCGGTGATGCCATCCAACCCATCTCATCCTCTGTCATCCCTTTCTCCTCCCGCCTTCAGTCTTTTCCAGCATCAGGGTCTTTTCCAGTGTCAGCTCTTCACATCAGGTGGTCAAAGTATTGTAGTTTCAGCTTCAGCATTATTCGGAGACTAAGCAAAGGCTCATTCCCACACTGTTTTGTTGCTGTTGTTTATGCCTTGCGTTGTGCGTGGCTAAGTGGCCGGGTTGCGGGCAAGCCCCGGCCGCTGGCCCTAAAGGGAAGGGACCTTGGTGCGCGGTCTGCGTGTCCCCTGACTCCCCCTCCCTAACACTTGCTGATGCACCCTCTAAATTTTAGACACTGTAATAGTTGTGTAGTGATACCACATTTTATTTTACTTCTGTTTTTTTTTTGTCAAATAGTGATATTTGTTTTTTTTTTTTCCATGTGTTGATTGGCCATTCATATGTGTTCACTGAGTGTTTGCTCAAGTTATAATTCTATTTTTTTATTGGGTTGTTTGCCTTCAGTTCAGTTCAGTTCCGTCGCTCGGTTGTGTCCGACTCTTTGCGACCCCGTGGACTGCAGCCCGCCAGGCTTCCCTGTCCATCGCAAACTCCCGGAGTCCACCTAAGCCCATATCCATTGAGTCGGTGATGCCATCCAACCCATCTCATCCTCTGTCATCCCTTTCTCCTCCCGCCTTCAGTCTTTTCCAGCATCAGGGTCTTTTCCAGTGTCAGCTCTTCACATCAGGTGGTCAAAGTATTGTAGTTTCAGCTTCAGCATTAGCCCTTCCAATGAATATTCAGGACTGATTTGCTTTAGGATGGACTGGTTGGATCTCCTTACAGTCTTGTTTGCCTTATTACTTATTGCAGTTCTTTATATGTTTTGCATGCAATCCCTTTATCATGTCTAAGTGTTGCAAATATTTACTCCCAGTATGTGTCTTTTTCTTTCTTTTTTTTCCAACAATGTTTTTGAGAGAGCAGAATTTTTTTTTTAGAAAAAAGCAGAAGTTTAAAATTTTGATAATGTTCAATTTATCAGTTATTTCTCTTATGACTTGTGTTTTTGTGTCATACTTATTTCCAGCATGTTATCAAATATTTATGCTCATCTTTTCTTTTTCAAGTTTTATACTTTTAGCTTTTATATTTAAGTCTATGATCCATTTAAAATTTACTTTTACTTATGGTGTGAAATAATGATCACACTTCTTTCTTCATGGATATATACTTGTCCCAACACCATTTGCTGAAAATACACCTGCTTTAAAAATTTTAAAGTAACATTTTCTTGTATTATTTGTTTTGAGATTATACAAGGAAATAATTTTAACAATAAAATTATAAACCTTAGATGTGATAAACTTAAGGGATGGAATTACTCTGAACTTTAAATTTAAAAAATTTTTAAATTTAAATAGTATTTAAACACACAGTGGATATATATATAATATATGAAATATATATGAAAATGTGTATATATTTGCATTTTAACTACATACCTATCATCTGTCTATCACACTTAAACCTAAATAATACTTTAGTATTATATATCTAATATCTTCCAAACAAGTGAACAAGGACTTTATCTACATAACAGTAAAAACATTTGCACTAAAGGAATTATCATTTATACAGTAATTTTATCTAGTATATATATTATAATTACATTTTCTCAGTTATCCTAATATATCTTGTGTAGTTTTTCTTGAAGGGGCATCTAGTGTCCAATCAAGGAACAAATATTTAATTTATCTGTCCCTTTACTCCCCTGTTATCAAGAACAGTTCCTGTTCCTATGTTTATTTCAATACATTGGCAACTTTGAAGAGTCCAAGACAATTGTCATTTTAAACATTTGGCAGTCTGGCTTTGGCAATTGTTTTCTTGAGATTAGATACCAATTCTGTGTATTTGACAAGAAAATTACATAGGCGATGTTGTGTATGTCCCACTGCATTGGATTTTGTCTGAAGACATATATTGTCAGTTTATCCCATTAGTAGTAATGCTAAGATGATCACTTATTAAGGAGGAATCTTCCATATCTCTCTATTGAGTGTCTGTTTTCATAGGTAATTAATTAAAAATCTATAGCATGCACTTTAAGACTTAGTGTATACTGTTTCCCAAAACATTAATCCAACAGTTTCAGTAATAATTGATAATCTTTATCTGCTTTGTTGAAAAATGAGAATTTTTCTAATTTTATCATGTTTTTTTTAAATCTAGAATTCATTCACAATGTGTTTCTCCACATTTTAAAATTAAGAGAAACAAATTTCATCCCAAAGATAAATGCTCAGTAGTTGTTAGTGTATTTGTCTAGGAAATCATTTTTTCCTCTTAGGAAGATTTTCTTTTTTATTGTGGTAAAATAAGTTATAATGTAAAAATTACCATTTTAACTATTTTAAAGTGAGCAATTCAGTGAAATATAGTACATTCACAATGTTGTGCAACCATAGCTACTATCTAGTTCAGAACATTTTCATCACTCCATAAAGAAACCCAATTCATCCATTAAGCAGTCATTGCCCATTCCTCCCTCCCTCCAGCCCCTGACAACCACTAACCTGTTTCTGTCTGTATGGATTTGCCAGATGTCATTTTTAATCGTATCAGACCTCTATTTTTGAAAAGCCCTATAAACAGGTTCCAAATACATCTGACTTTTCAAGAGCCATCAGAGGCTTTCATTTTAAAGCATAATCCACATATGAGATATATGAAAAGGAAATGATGAAATTGAGCAAAACAAACAGCAGTGTCTAAACACCGTGATAAGTAACAGGGATTCAGAAACCAAGTAACCAAGTACTCAGTACTTCAGATGCTATTGGAGGCCACTTTAGTAACATTCCTGCCATTGAGCTTAAACCCATCCGTGTTTATTGCTTGGTCTGTCTCTCTCTGGAATTGCCACTGCCCTTCTTTGGCCCTGGGGCTCCTCATCTATAGGTCAAAGATTGGACTAAATGATTTGCAACATTTCTTTTGCTCCATGACTTCTTATAACTCAATTGATCTTCATCCTTCATTCCAGGGCATGACTATAGTGACATCACTGAGTTCTGTGCTACATGATGACAAAGAATTCCCCAACCCAGAGGTATTTGACCCTGCCCATTTTCTGGATGAAAGTGGCAACTTTAAGAAGAGTGACTACTTCATGGCTTTCTCAGCAGGTAATAAAATTAATTTCCTTAAGTACTTAGGGAACAAGGTAACTTTCTGGAGTTGCTTGGAACTTAATGATGCCCTCTCTGGGGCTGGTAGAAATGCTTTTTGTCCACGATCACAGCACCACTCTCAATTCCCATGTGTTTCCCCCCTCACCATATATCCCCAGTATTGGAACTTCAGGGAGGTGACCCAGTTCTTCCAAAGTAAGAAAGCTAGAAAACAGGTTAATTGAATTATGCCTCTAGCATAATTCAATAATAATCTTAGGTAGCACTGGGCTACCTGTGAGCTCCTCTTAGCAGGTGAAACTTTTAGATTTTGCTTCTCTGCCATGAGAAAGGTATGTAAGTCCATAAGTTTGAGTATTTTCCATGTGATATCCCTCACTCCCTAGGCTGAGTTCTGGGGTTAAAAGTACAGAATGGGCACCAAAGTGGGCTCACAATCTAGTTAGGGAAGCGGATTACTAAAGAGAACATTGAATAGTGTTGTGAGAGAGGAAAGCACAGGCTGCTCATGAGACCAGAAGGAGAAACACTTTTCTGGTCACTCATACACACAGTGAGGCATAAAATGGAATAAGGAACATTCTTACAGAAGAAAGGGAATTTGAACTGCCTCACAGGAACAAAGTGAGAAGAGAAGGCAGGGCACTTTTACAGGAGCAGGACATTCTTTTAGATTGAGAAAGTCAGACCCTGCCAGCTAACTGTAGTGTCAGTGCATCCTTGGGAATGTGGCAAGATACCCTGCAGTGGTTCCAGAGCACTGTGATCATCCTCCACTCTTGATCATAGATCTTGGATACTGGGTCTCCACAACTACAGTATGTGCTGAGTCTCTGACCACAGATTCACCTCCATGTATTTGATGGCTTTTGATGCCTGCTTTGTGTTATCTTCTGAGCCTTCATTTCAAAAGCACACATTTTAGCATAGCAGAGGAACCAGAATTACGATTCAAGGTGATTCATGCTTCAACTGAAGCAATAAATGTGATATTGAGGAAACCCAGAGAGGGCAAGATTCTGCTGTTTGTGAAGATCGCAAAGACCATAAAGAGGAAATGCTATGGGGGCGTAGGTCCTGCAGGAAGTGTCAGGGACATGCATCTTGACCGAGTGAAACATCATGAGACAAAATTAGAGCTTTAATGGTGTTTTGGAGATTGATGAAGAGTGTATATCGCTAGCACTGAGAGTAGAGGGTGTGAAGAATGGAAAGAATGATATGGAACATCATGCTGCTGCTGCTGTGTTGCTTCAGTCGTGTCCGACTCTGTGCGACTATGCAGATGGCAGCTCACCAGGCTCCCCGGTCCCTGGGATTCTCCAGGCAAGAACACTGGAGTGGGTTGCCATTTCCTTCTTCAATGCATGAAAGTGAAAAGTGAAAGTGAAGTCTCTCAGTCATGTCCGACTCCTAGTGACCCCATGGACTGCAGCCTACCAGGCCTGTCCGTCCATACTGGGAACAAAATAAGAAGGGCCAGCTCAACTCATTTGGACCTCATAACAGATGGGAGAGATATTTAATATTTTCAAGTGGAGACTGACACACTTAGACATGTAATTTTGAAAGCACGTGGAGGAAAATTATCTTTGGCTGAATTTTGTGCCAAAAGTAGAAAGGAAGCACACAGGTACAAGTTTCCTCCTCTCAGGGCTTCTGCTTTCAGCCCACCTGGACGAACAGAGTAGGGGTGTTTATTCAAAGATTGATGGAAACTGGAAGTGGAATAGAGCAGTTAAAATGTGGGAATATACAATGAAGTGCTTGACGCAGAGCTGATAATCAATATTTACTGAATGAAAAGTTCCTATGAAGATATTAGGTGACTAGCGAGTGTGTCTCTCCTTCTGTCTCTCTGTCTGTAACCATCTTTCCAGGCCTCCGTCTGTTCAATCATTCATACATTTTGTGACAATTCAAAATGTAATGTTCAAGGAACAAATCCCCTGTGTGTGTGTTATTTTCAGGAAAACGAAATTGTGTGGGAGAAGGCCTGGCCATTATGGAGCTGTTTTTATTTTTGACCACCATTTTACAGAAATTTACCCTGGAATCTGTGGTTGACCCAAAGGACCTCGACACCACCCCGGTTTCTAGTGGGTTTGGCCATGTGCCACCCCTGTACCAGCTCTGCTTCATTCCTGTGTGACGCAGGGCAGTCCATCGGCTGCTGCTGTGCTGTTGTCTGTAATTAACTCTCCTCTGGGGCATCACTCCCCTCCTTCTTACTACCAGGGATACTCTTCTGACCACCCATCTCATACCACCACAATTTTCTCCAGTGAATATCCAACTTCTATGTGAATATCCGGTAAATATCCAACTTCAATGAAAGGAAAGTCTCCTGAGTTTTACTGCACAAATATATTTGCTGTCTTCATATTCTGTAACACTTATACTGACTGCCACATATGCTAATACTTAAGAGTCAGTACTGTATTATCACTGTAAAACAGAGTGGAATGGTTGGTATAAGCCAACACATAGCCATTTGCTCTCCAGATGTTCTAAATAAAAAGCAGCAGTATTTGCTGAGCCAGTCTCAGACTTTCCTTCTTTTGTATGTAATGCAGGTAAGAAATGAATGAAAGTAAGAGTCTGAAGAGGCTGTGCTTGTCCTCATAATGATTAACACAGATAGGGACAAAGTGGAAGAGGGTAGGAAAACTATTTGCTGAGTATCACCTGGGCTTATTTGAGGACTGGATTTGGAAAAGAGAGAAATTGTGTCCAAGAGCAGCTCCAGCCTGTAGGGAAATAGTGAGAAAATCAGCAATTGGGAGGACTGAATAATAAGTGTTAGAATTCATTCCTCTGGTTGGTGTTACTATGAACACTAAAAGAAGATATGAAATGTTCACATTACTTTGTGTTTCAGACTTATAGTTAAATATTAAGCTATGTTTCTGTATTTCTAATCATGTATTCTAAGTGTTATTCTTTTCTCTGTGAGCAAGAACAGAATCCCTTGAAGGTGTCACCAGATTCTATTTTTTTCTACTTTCCATCACATTGTTTTATATGTAACATCAGTGATGGCAATATGTTGCTATGATCCTGAACTTTTTAGTCTCAGGACATCTCTGAAATATAGATAGCTGAGAGATAAAGAATATCTTTGGGACTTATCCCTGAAACACTAATGGAAATGAGAATTAGAAATTCCTGTTGAAGGTTTTATTAATATTATATAAAAGGTTTGACTTCTTTTAAGGAAACGTACTAAAATAATTCAGGTCTTTGATACCAAGATCAGGTATCAGGTCAGCAGTTTACATTCAGGTTAGCAGTTTACACTCACTTGGTTCAGAGTATAAATTCTTTGCACATACTACCAAATTTTCTCTCTGACACTTGCATTTGTTTTAAAAATGTATGAAGCCAACTGTTAGCTTATATCCCAATAAACTAGTTTTTCACATATGAATACTTAGTATTGCCATTGGACATCTGAAAAAGTGCTCAGCAACATTAAGCTTTATGGAAGTGCAAATTTAAATTTTAATGAGATATCCTTAGATAAACATTGGGGTGCACGTGTCTCTTTCAGATCTGGTTTCCTTAGATAGCCATCAGAATGGTTAAAATGAGAAAAAAATTATACTAAGTTTTGGCAAGAAAGTGAAGCAACCAGTATTCTCAGAATAATACTATAAATTAGTTCAACCATTTGGACAACTATTTGGCCATTTTTTGGGAAGTAAACACATGAATGTCCAGCAGTTTCACTTGTAAGTATGTACTGAACAAAAATGCAGTACTTTGGGATTTGAACAAGACATGTTTAGAAATGCACATAACAGCACCAATCAAAATAACCCCACAGAGCAAGAACCTGAAATGTCTATAACAGTACAATGGAAAACATAAATTATGCAATTCTTTTTCATGATTTGTGTCTTGATTATACGGAAATATTCACCCTCTGTTAGTGTGTTGGCATGCACATTTAGAATACGCATATTTTCTCAATGGATGTTATGCTTCAATTAAAACACTTATTTAAAGGCAAACAGATCTACAGAAGAAATATTTGGGCAGTAATTTCAGAGGATTTCGCAAAATTAATGTCAGATGCCATGCCACACATTCAGGAAACTCTAAGAACATCAGGTTGGAAAAATACCCTGAAGTCTACATGTAGGTATATCATATTCAAACATAGAACATAAAAACAAATAAAATATCTGAAAGAAGCCAGAGGAAGAAAAAAATCTTACCTTTAAAGGAACAGAATAAGAATTACATTGGGATTTTCTTCAAAATCTGTGCAAGCAGAAAGAGAGTGGAGTGAAATATTTAAAGGAAAAAAAAATGCACCAACTTTGATTTCTGTATACAGTGAAATTGTCTTTAAAAGTGAAGAGATAAGGACCCTCAAACAAACAAAATTGAGATAATTTGAATCCAGTCCTTGACTGGCAAGAGGGTACCTACATGCAAAACACAGGCACATAGAATCTACATGCAGATCTTACACCCTTTACAAAAATTAACTAAAAATGGATCATAGAACTTAAGGCAGAGTGCAAAATTTTAATTTCTAGGAGATCACATGAGAGAAAATATAGGTTACCTTGACTAGGTGATGACTTTTGAAATTTATCTCTGAAGCATAATCCACAAAAATAATTGATAATTTGGAGTTCATTAAAATTAAAACCTTCTACTCTGTTATATATACTGTCAATGGAAGGAAGAGACAAGCAACAGATTGGGATAAAGTATTTGCAAAAGGCATATCTGGTGAAGACTGTTACCCAGAATAAACAAAGAGCTCTTAATTAAAACTCAACAGTCAGAAATATAACAACCTGATTTTTAAAATGTGCAAAATATCTGAACAAAAACATAAGCAAAGATATCCAAGGGGCAAATAGGCAGGTGAAAAATGCTCAACATCATATATAATTAGAGGCTTGCGATTAGATACCACTACACATATTATGTGTGTGTGCATGCTCAGTTCTTTGTGTGTGTCCAGTTCTTTGCAGCTCCATAGACTGTAACCCACCAGGCTCCTCTGCCCATGGAATTTTCCAGGCAAGAATACTGGAGTTGGTTGCCATTTCCTTCTCCAGGGAATCTTCCCAACTCAGGGATCAAACCCATGTCTCTTGTGTCTCATGAATTGGCAGTTGGATTCCTTACCACTTGTGCCATCTGGGAAGCACACATTATAAAATGGCTAAGGTCCAAATCATTGACAAAACCAAATATTGACAAAGATGTGGAGCTGCAATGTTTGTTAGTTGTTACTGGTGGGATGCAAAGTGGTATAACCACTTTGGAAGAGTTATCAGTTCCTTAAAAAATGAAACATATACTTACCATATGATCCAGCAGTTATACTCCTTGGAATTTACTCAAATGAGTTGAGATCTTACATCTGCACAAAAACCTGCACATTAATGTTTTTAGTTACTTTTTTAATAAAAACATGTTTATTCATAAAATTAACTTTTATAGTTGCTTTATTCACAAATTTATGTCAAAACTTGGAGGAGTTGAGATGCCCTTCAGTTGTTGAAGTATAAACAATAATATATCAATTGAATGGAATATTATTCATTGTTAAAAAAAAGGTAGCAAGCCATGAAAAGAACCCTAAGCACATTATTAAGTGAAAGAAACCAATTTGAATGCTACATATTGTGTAATTCTAACTGTAACATTCTAGAAAATTATGGAGGCAATACAAGATCAGTGGTTTCCAGGGGCTTGGGAAGGAGGGACAGATAGATGGAGCACAGAGAACTTTCAGGTCAGTGAAATCATTTTGTATAATACTTTAATGGTGGATACATGCTCATGCTACATTTGTCAAAATCCATAGAATGTATAAAATTAAGAGTGAATCCTAATATAATCTGTGAACTTTGATTTATCATGTGTCAGTGTTAAATCATTAATAGTAATAAGTGTACCACACTGGTGAGGGTTGCTGGTGGTGGGATAGGCTATGTGTGTGTGAGTATGTGTGACCACTGTGTACCTAAAACTGCTGTAAAAAATAAATTCTATTCTTTAAAAACAAAACCCCTAACTCACAACTCCAGCCAACCTGAAGTTTGCATTACTCTGTGACAGTGGAGGACTTAATACTTATGCTCTCCTAATCATTTGGACAACAGGAATGCTATTTGAGGTGAAATGTCATTGACTGGGAGTTGAAAAACAGATTCTAACCAAAGGCCTTGTGAGAATGTAGTGAGGATACTTTATCCACTGTCATTAATTGCTCATTGAAATAAGGGCTAGATTAACTGATCTCAGAGATACTTTCAGCCTTTAAATTATCTTTGACTCTTTCACTCTATAAAAAGAAATAGCTTTAACAGAAGGAATGTTAAGCAGAGCAAGCACACTGATTTCTCAAGAATAAAATTGCTCTAAAGAAAGTGACTGAATTTATTTCATCCAAAATTAGGTAGAGTTTAGACCTCTGTAAGTCAGGCAGCAAGTTACTACTTCTCCTTCTTTTCTAGTTGAAAGGTACACCATGTCTTGTACTCATTCAAGTTAATAGGTTACAAAACTAAACTTTCCTGACCCCCACTTTAATCAGCTGGTGCAGTAATTATTAACTCAATTGACATATTTGAAAATTTGTTGACTAGGATGAGTCACAGAATATTGAATCATGGTACATATGCAGTAAGCGTGGTGACCCTGGTGAACTGAATGTTTGCTAAGAGATGTGGGTTCCAGTCTCAGCTCGGTCACCTGCAGAGCCATGTATACCCTTAACATAGGAACTGAATCTCCAAGGCCCATCCATGAATTGGAAATAATTTTACCTTTGGGAAAGGTAACTGAGATAATCATAAGAGATATTATGGTGGGAAAATTCTCTGTTTAAGGTGAATAAGATATGAATCCATGTAAACATGAGGAATAAAACATTTTGTAATTAGCTTTTGGTAGTTTAGTTGCTAAGTCGTGTTCGACTCTTGAGGCCCCCTGGACTGTAGCCCACTAGGCTTCTCTGTCCATGGGATTTCCCATGCAAGAATACTAAAGTGAGTTGCCATTTCCTTCTCTAGGGGATCTTACTGACCCAGGGATCAAACCTTGTTCTCCTGCACTGCAGGCAGATTCTTTATCGACTGAGCTACCAGGGAATTCCCAGGTATTAGCTCATAACAAAAACATGTGTTTCCTTACTAAAAGAGCTTAGGAGTAACTTCACTAATAAATTTTGAATAAATATGATGATATGTTGTAGAACATGTTTGCAAAGCATTGTTATTGTGATCTAGTGATGTTTACCTTTCCAGTGTTATTTAGATCTTCATGACCACTGTCATCTCCTGTTCTGGTCTGCATGTTATAGTGGCTCCATGCTGTAGGTCTGTTTAATGAAGTGCTTGCCTCCCATCCTCCACTGAATCCATATGTGTTGTTCTGTGTAAAATCTCCCTTCCTTGCTGTTGATGGCAAATTTAAATTATAATGGAGTGATCACAGGATTCCCAGGTGACAGAGTGGTAAAGAATCCACCTGCCAATGCAGGAAATGCAGGAGACACAGGT